TTACACACATATTATACCAAAAAACAACAAACACAATAACAACAAAACCCTTACACACATATTATACCAAAAAACAACAAACACAATAACAACAAAACCCTTACACACATATTATACCAAAAAACAACAAACACAATAACAACAAAAAACCCACTCACTCTTCCGCCCCTGAAGTCTCGGACCCTCCAGAAAATGACGACAAAGTTCCCGCACAGAGCCACCACACCCAGCACCCAGATGCTGATCCTGAGCACCTGGCTGGACATGAGGTCTTCACAGGACGAGAACTCGTCGGCCTCCGGGAGACAGTGGACGGCGGAGTGAGCCAGGCAGCAGAACTTGTAGCTGTCTGTCTCCCTGTAAGAAGGTGGGATGGGGTGAGATATGGGGTGGGGTGGGGTGAGATATGTGGTAGGGTGAGGTGGGGTGAGATGCCTCCGGGAGACAGTGGGCGGCGGAGTGAGCCAGGAAGCAGAACTTGTAGCTGTCTGTCTCCCTGTAAGAGGGTGAGATGGGGTGAGATAAGGAGTGAGATGGGGTGAGATATGTTGAGATATGAGGTGGGGTGGGGTGAGGAGGGGAGAGACATGGGGTGGGGTAGGGTGAGATGCCTCTTGGAGACAGTGGACGGCGGAGTGAGCCAGGCAGCAGAACTTGTAGCTGTCTGTTTCTCTGTAAAAGGATGAGTGGGGTGAGATATGGGGTGAGGTGCGGTGAGGTGGGGTGAAGTGGGGTGAGGGGAGGAGGGATGGGGTGAGATCGGAAGAAGTGGGATGGGATGGTATTGGAAGGGAAGTGAAAGGAAGGGATGGGATGGGATGAGGTGAGGTGGGAAAAGGTGGGGTGGGATTGAATGTGGTGAGGTGGGATGAGGTGAGATGGGGTGAAGTGAAGTGAAATGAGGTAGGGTGAGGTGGAATGAGATGAGATGCAATTAAATAAAATAAGTTAAGATACGATAAGACAAGATAGTATGGGATAGGATGGTATGGAAAGGGATGGGATGGGGTGGGATGATACGAGGTGTGGTGACATGAGATGAGATGAGATGAGATGAGATGACTAATTTTAGTAACTGTAAGAGCTTTGCGGTACTTGTAACGCAGTAGTCCAATCCTGTAAATGTCGAAGATAAGAGGCTTTACTACAGAGTAATTGTCTGTCTGTCCGTTTGTCTGTCCGTCTGTCTGTCTGTGTGTCTGTCTGTGTGTCTGTCTGTCTGTCTGTCTATCTGTCTGTCTGTTTGTCTATAGAATACTCACAAGGTCTCCAAGCTAGGCAGACCAAGGAACACACTCTCCCCTATGTCATCGATGCTGTTCTGAGATATGTCCCTGCAATACAAGACAAACGTTGATTGGTTGATGAAATGACTGATTGATTGATTGACTGATTGGTAGACTGATTGATTGATTGACTGATTGGTAGACTGATTGATTGGTTGATTGAGCAGGAGTTTTACGTCTTTATCGACTCAGGTTTGGTCATATTGTAAGGGACAAAGACAAAAGCACTGGACAATGTACAACTTGGACTCTGAGATACCTGTTTAAAAACATAGGCTAACCCTTAAGATAAATGAATAATATCATGCACAATTCTAGTAATAAGGATAATGTTATTTAATAATCATAATAATTATGACCACACAGTCATAATCATAATAATAATGAACACGCAATCATAATAATAATCATAATAAAAATAATGATAATAATGATTATGATGATGGTAATTATAATGATAATAAGGATGATAATGATAATAATAATAATAATAA